CTCCTTTTTAAAATGTTTTATTTATTTTACATTTTCTTGATCTTAGCTTCATAATAAAAAAAAAATACTGCCCTCCTGGACTTTATCGACACCCTTAAGTATTTAAAGCCCAACTCTGGGCTTAATCCTTTTCATACCCTTTTGTAGTCCCTGGATATAGTTTTTGCTCTTTGTCTTGTTATTAAATGTCGTCTTTCTGCTAAGTTAAAAACATCCTCCTCTCTTTCCCTAGATAGTGCAGCTTCTGCTGAACTTCCTGTCAGTCGCTGAGAATAGACACTAGTGCCATCATGGCATCTTCACCCCTTCTCCGTGCTTTGCCTTTACTATCTAGGGGGGGGACAGAGAGGAGTGTTTTTACCAACTTTGCAGTAGCAAGACTTTTCATAACAGCAAGGAGGATATAAATGATATTAAGGTACTATAAAGGTATAAAAAGGATCGTGTCATGGACCACATTTTCCTTCTTTCCTAGAGGCTGTGCATATTGGGTTTCTCCAGTCTCCCCATAATTGTTGTTTTTTTAAATCACTTTTTCTTTTTTTTTTGCCCATCTCCGGATTTTTTATTTTCTCAACCATCTTTTAAAAAAAATGTATTATTATTATTAAATTGCGGTCTTCAGAACTGGACACAGTATTCTAAAATGGGGTCTTACTAAAGTCCTATATACTGGAATTGAGACTTCCTTCCTCCTGCTGGTGATCCCTCTATTGCACCCCAAAATTCTATTTGCTTTTCCTCCGCCTGGCAACAATATTGTACTCCCGTGAGAGGATTCTTTCTCCCTAAATGCATTATTTTATGTTTAGCCGCTAGTTATACAGCCAAAGATAATAGTAAAACATAGCTACAGGCAAACTGAGATATAGTCAGAACACATATGCAGCAACTGTTCTATCTATTAGAGCTATTGTAATGCAATGCATATTCCAGTGTCATCCAGCCAGCTCTGGTGGTATGTAGCATATAGCATAAGGAGGATGACATAATGTTTCACTGCTATTGTACATGCTTTTTGTATCCCAAATGGACCAGTTCTTAATCATTAATTACAGGTCTTGGCATGCACATGGATGAATTTTGTAGACACACACCAGATCTGCTGCATGTGGTACCTTCTGATTTGACAACTTTTTAGTCTTGTGTAACCCGGAAGGCAACCTAGTATACATGTTTGTACAATGTTACGTTTTCAAAGTAGACCTTCTGTTACACTTTATTATTTTAATGCTGTAAAGAAGCCAGCCCCTGACTCCAGTATTACAATCTGTGATTGAGAATCATTTACAAACATTTAAATGTTTGCTCTCTGGAGTGCTTGTAGTTTGATATTTGCAAAACTAAACATATAGAGAACAAAACAGTTCCTGAGTTTTCTGTTCAGATCCAATTAGCCTGCGCTAAAGGGGAAATATGTCTTGAAGTACAGTGTGACAGTTGGCTTAAAAGAAAAGCCCGTCTAGCTGGCAGCCAAGCCTACTTGATGTACTACAGAGCAATGCCTGAGGAGCTAATTGCTCTCTGTGAGCTTGGATGAAACAGAATTTGAGAGGCTTCTATCATACAATAGTGTTTATTTTTTTCCCCATAGTTGAAATGTTCAGTTGGTTACTATGTGTGCTGTCTTTTGATGGAAAAAAAAAAAAAAGATATCTACATTTTTGTTCTCTGCTTTCGCACTTACATTTCTGTGATGGTAGAATGGAGAATGAAATCAGACTCATGATTGTCATATTGTACTTTTTACTATGTATTAGTGAATTACATGACTCAGATTGTGCTGTTTAAGCAGCCTGGGGAAATGGTGAAACCAGTCTGGAGGTACACTGCCCTGTTTTATTCTCCTGCTTAAGCTGGGTATACACTATCATATTTTGTTTCATTCTATTGGAAATACAGCAGCATATTAGTCACTCTACTCTCCCCTGCCTCTGATGTAAAGGAAAAGCAGAGGGCTTGATGTAAACATTGCCATGTGATCGCTGTGATAACCAATTGCGCCGATCACAGGACACAGAACCGGTCCTTTCGACTCTGTGTCTAAAGCCACTGCTCTCTGCTTTCTAATGACAGTGGGAGCAGCGGCTGTGCGCTCTCACGTGTTCACAGGAGGACGTACAGAACAAAGCACCAGCAGACCGCCTGTTTTAATACAGTGGCCGTTCCGCAAGCGTTTAAAACTTAAATATATTAAGTTATGCTACCCAACTGAAGCTCCCTCTGTCCCGACAACACACACACCTCCCAGTTATCCGGCACCCATGGAGATTGGTAGGTTCCGGGTAACTGCGGTGCCCCGCTTCCCCCTGCAGCCCCATTCACCTGCTGGCTAGCTCCTGCAGCCGACAGGTGAATGGAAGCAGCCGGGAGCAATAGCCAGCCTGCTATTCTCTCTCCGGTCCGATCCTTTGCTTGGTGGGCAGGGTTTCTATAGCTAGCCTGCTATTTCAAATTCCAATAGCAGGCTGGCAATTGAAACCCCACCTACTGAGCAGAGGAGCGGACCTGAGAGAGAAAGTTCTCTCTCAGGTCCGCTCCTCTGCTCAGTGGGCTATTGCAAAAAAAAAAATGCTTTCTTTCTTTCGCCTGATAATGGGGAGTTTACTGTACTTGCATATGTACATTATATTAGGGCATGCTATAAAAGATATTTGGTGCAAAACTGAAACATCTCATAACAGAAGAGACCCTATTGCTAGACCATTAGTTTAAATAAAATTTACATATAATCTTATGCAAATATTTAAAAAAAAAAAAAACATGTTTACCTTTAAAAGCTCCCTTATGTAGACATGCAAAAGCCTTGAGACTTCTGTAGATGCCAGCAGCCCTGCCAGACTCAGAACTCTCAGTACAAGTGAATAAGAAAATAATTTATAGAATGGAAAAATATTGTAAAATGCTCGATTCTTCTTTTTTTTCTGTGCTTTTACCTTCAATTTTTTGAACATGGTGGTTGGGTGCTTAACCTGTATGTATTTGTGCATGTTTCCATTTACCCTGTGTGTGTTTCTGTGAATGACCTTTAAAGCATATGCAGGGCATCTCTGCTATTCATACATTTCTATGTTTTATCCCTTTAAACAACAACTGTTGATTAGCCAGGCATGCACTCAGCTTTTATGGCCTGTTGTGGCCAGACACCCAGCATTTATGTGCAATGAGTGGTGTCAGCCCTGCCCAGTGTCTTTTGCTAAAATACTCAAACTTCCCCCACCACTCTCAGATCTCTACCATATAAAGGTTAATCATTCTTTAGTCCAAAATAAGAAGTGGGAGGGCTCATTAAAATAAATCAGGAGACCTACAGAGAACACAGCACAACTTTGTATTTCTAAAAAGTTGTTGTTTTTTTTCCTGCTCATTTTAAACCGATATAACAAAATGCTTTCAATTGTATATGTATATCTAACAAATCAAATGGAGGAAAATAAAATAGTTAGGGTTTACGTACACTTTACGTTTTGTCAGAAAGGCAGAATGCACCCTAAATGAGCATGCGCTCTACTGGGGCTTCTCTAGTATGCTAGTTGAGATGTATTTTTGCCCGAAGTGAAATTTTCTCATTAACAACCATTTAATATCTTGGACTTCTCTGCCTCTAATTGTACAGAAGCAAATCTCCAGGCACATAAAGTATATGTTCAAAATGGTAAAAAAAAGAATAAAGGTATTTTTGTTACTAACTAAAATGTTTCATTTATTATACATTTTTATCCTAAACCTTCACCAGCTTTTGAGAATATCTTCCCTGTAGGGGTGATGATGGCAGTGGTGATGAATGGTTGGTATATGCTGAGCAGCTAAGGGCTGTGGAGGTTACACATAAAAGCATTGATCTAGAACAGGGGGTAGTAATTTAAAATTCTAGGAGGTCTGGTGACCAAGATTTTCATCAAGCCAAGGTGCAAATTGCAGTCCATACAGAACGGTCACTCAGTCCATGTTTGCTCACGGTCCGCCATTTAGGCTGCATTCACACCAGTAGCTGCACCTCAATGCACAGCTGCTGGTGCGTGTTCCCAGACACAATACTTGTACATCAATTCTGACGCATTTCACTGGCTTCATTTTTTTGTTAAGAATTTTATTAAGTTCTATAGGCAAAGCGCAGTTGCCTCCATCGGAGTGCCCCCTTACATTAGTTGCCGACATCTGACTGCCCCTTGCATTTAATTAAAAAAAGAGGACTCTGACCCCCAATATAAGGGTGCACCCTGAAGCAGTGTAAGCGGGCATGCTGATTGGGACCACCTATATAAAATATGTTATCCCCACCAAAGTGCCCCCTTACACCAGTCTCTAAAGTGCACCTATAAAATGCTGCTGATTAATCCTTGCAGCGGAGAAGAAAGCTGACGTAATAGGTTGCTCGGAACGCTGCGGTCTTGGCAGCCAATGACTGAGGAGGAATGGGGACCTGCAGAGTGGGTTATGGCTGGCTGTGGATGTGCCGGCTGCGTAGGCAGCTGCATCCACTGTCGGACCTAGTCGGTGATCGTGGTACGAATCCGGACAATGGTCTACCATTTAGGGAACCCTGATCTAGAAATAAAGAAGTAAGCTAAAAATCTATAGGTATTTTGCCTGACACTATATTTAATATGCTAGATTTTTACCTTTTTTTTTTTCCTAACCATAAAATGTTACAGCGTCATAGGATGGCTCATTTATATCATGTACCAAAGGTACCCATCAGGATTGAAAAATGAGACTTGCCATTGCAGATTTGTTTTTAAAGGTGCTCGCTTCAGAGCTGTCATCACGAACCTTTTATCCAAAAAAAACACCTGTTATGCACATATCCAGTTCATCTATTTAGTAAGTAGTGAAGGAAGCATATGGATGGCTTCTATATTTCTGTTCTGACAAGGTACCTTGTTAGTTTAAAAACTATTGTGACAGCTGCAATGGGCAAGCAAAAAGTAAATAAAAACAAGTTGATAAACTTACTTTTCCTGCAGAGATTGCTGTTTGAGGGCCCTCTCTAATGCTGGTCAGTTGACATACACATTTGCCAGATCATGTGACCCAGTACCGAGGCATTAGGTTATGTGTTCAGCAATGGCGGGAGCTTAACACAACTTTATGAAAGACAAGTATTTTAGCCTTTTTGTTACACTTTATTGTTTATTAATCTTGACTAGGGATACACCAGTACCATTTTTTCCGGACCGAGTACTAGTCCCGATACTTTTCCTCAAGTACTCGCTGATGCCAAATTCCTTCTTTTTTTAGTGTCACGTGACAGTTTTTCCAAAACAATAACTAAGGATTTTAGGGCATTTTCTTTATAATTATGAAGAACTGGGGGTGTTTTTGTAGCCCTATCCTAGGGTGACTATGCTGTTCCTCCATAGACACAGTACAGTATAAGTACCCCTTGTCACGCTAGGGCAGGAGTTGTGTTACTGGCAGGATCACAAAGAAAACAAAAAAGGAAAAATAAATGCTAATGCAGCCACCATATCTAGGGACTGGTAAATTGCAATATCACATTTTTGGGGGTTTAGATACTATAAATCTATGTATGCATAATTTCACTCTGTTTTGTTGTAGGCACATGAACGTCTAGAAGATACTAAGCTAGAAGCGGTTGGTGACAATAATGTGGAACTTGTACATGACATTCTTGAAGACATTAGTCCTTTAGCACATGAAGATAAAACTGTTGAAGAATTAGTTACTATACTTAAAGAGCCTCATTTTCAGGTGTGTGTGGAATTGTATGTTTTACATCTTGAAAGTAGAAAATGTATTCTCTGTAGTCTTACCTTCGTCTTAGATTATTTGTAGAATCTCTTGAAGCATTTCTGAATTGTAAGACATGGTAAACAAGTCTGTACAGCAACTTGAAAAATTCCAGGTATGCAGAAAGTTAACCCCTGCAGGGGGGCTGCTCCTGGACTGCAAGGGTATTTTTCCTCTAGGGGCTGGTATAAAGAAGGTATACTCACCTTATCCTCGATCCTGCGGCGGTGAGCACTCACCTTTCCCCCCCCTCTGCTCTGGCATGTCCCTCAGCGTTCTCATGTTTAATGCAAGTGAATGGGCTGTATTAGACATGATGATGTCAGCAGGACTTAGACTACCGAATTCCAGGGAAGAAGAGGCTGTAGGGACCAGTCTAGCAGCCGGTTAAGAATATGGATCAAGTGAGTGTAATTCTTTTATATGAGCCCCTAGAGAAAAACAAGCCGTTAACCCTTGCGGTGTGTGGGGGTGGCCTCACTGCAAGGGTTAACTTTTTACATTCCTGGAGTTCCTATTTAAAGCTCCATTTTTGTTGCAATGGAGTTAAACCTTTCAATGGTTAGTTCTTGCTTTATAACAGTTTGCTGCATGCCATCACTCTTATAGTATGTCAAATGTTCTAAAGTTAACCAATTTAAACACAATCACTTGCTGAAGACCCCTAAAAATATCAAGGAATGTAATGGGTGTAAATTGCAAATATGGTCAAATATAATTTTGTATTATTGTTTGTCAGCAAGCAAACCTCTATTAGAGTTCCTTTTGCACCTAATATAAAAAAAAAACTGTTTACAGAGCTCAATAGCTTAAACAGATAAACACACACACGTGAAGGTTTTAGACGAGCAACTCATCCTTTAAGAGTCTGCTTTATGGTCTTTTTAGATAATATGTAGTGCTCTGGGAATTGTATGTATTAAATGTTTGTTGTAAAACAAAATCTAAATAGAAATATAAAAGTATTGAAAAGCATAACACAGCATGGACCCAAAATCTTTACAGCTTTCCTTGAAGGTTAAGTACAAATACTCTGCCTGGGATCACACTATTATATCGTGTCAACACACAGTACTGCACATTTTGAATGGCACCACAACACATGTCAATGCACTACCATGCGTTGCATTTCTGAAAAAGGGTCAGTTGTGTTTTTCGCCATGCAGGGGTGTGTTGGCAGCACATTCAGAATGAAAACATGTCTTAACATGCACTGTAAGTGTAAGCCCCACCTATAAAACACATTTTTTTTGAGGTAACTCTTGCTTTCCCCAGTATTTGTGAACCAGGACTTGCTATAAGACCATGTCAGAAGGAAATAGCACTTTTGGCTTTTTATGAGCATTCCCTAGTGGTAATTTCTGATAATTACAGAGGTGCCTTTTTATGGACTTTATTCACGCAGTACCATGCATTTTTACATGTATTGTGTGTGTGTTTTCTAGCCTTAACATGGAATTTTATACCTTATGTATTATAAGTATACAGGTAAGTGAGGATCTTCATGCTTGTATGTCTTTGTATGCCATCATGTTTTACAAAACATTTTTAGAGCCACAAAATACCTTCCTTCTCGCCTATATGTGAGGCCAGGGTATCATTTTGGCAGATTTGTGATGTTACCATACAGCTTTAAAGGATTTAAGAAAAAGGTTTGTCTTTTTCTGATGTCATGATTTATTTTTGGTTGCAGAGTCTTCTAGAAGCTCATGACATAGTTGCATCCAAATGTTATGATTCTCCCCCTTCAAGTCCAGAAATGAATTCTGCAGTGAACAACCAACTTGCACCTGTTGATGCCATCCGCATGGTTGGAATTCATAAAAGAGCTGGGGAACCTTTGGTAAGGCATCCTTAATGCAATATATATGATAATTTTAACATATTTGGTTGCACTTCCGTCTACAGGAAAAGTAGACACACTAGGCACATAAACACCTGGGGCCCGTCCCCTTAGGGCTATAACCTCTCTTTCATCAACCGCTACTGGTAGATTAATTGCAGATATTGAAAATCCCTAAAGTCTCTCCAGTTAGCCGATGTACACAGAATTTCCCTAGTTAGTATACTGGTGTTCACTGTGATGGTCATGCAGTCGGAATTGACAATCCATCTGTGTTTCAGTTACCGCAAGACTCAAGTTTTCCAGGTCCAGTAATCTGGGGATTTCTTGATGGGCTATTGAAACCAGAGTTGTGGGAGTTTCACCTGACCAAGTCTGTGAAGACTTAATTTTTGTGAGTGTACAATCGGCAATGTAGTGTAGATTTTCCTGCTCAGTCAGCACACTGGTGTCATTTTTGTGATGGTTCTTCTGTTGTCAGTGCCAGATCCCAGGACTCCGCTTTCCCATCAGACCAATATGTCTGGGGATTCTTTTGAAGGTTTTTGGGTCCAGAGTTGCTAAGGCAATGGGCCTGTCACTGTAGCCTCACTGTTGTGAGTACCTAGAAGGCTTTTGCTGGGTTGAAGTTTGCTTAGTAATGAGGCTATATGTATATTATTAGTGCCTGAACAACGGTAGCTGCTGGCGATTGTCAAGGGCTTCATTTTTTTTATTTTTTATTTGGCTGCTTAATACTTAACGTAATTTGCAAGTTGGCCACATAAGGGAAGCACGCACTTTTATTTCCTTGGGCTGTATTCGCTTATGTGGAACTGTAAGTACGGCGGCTGAGCCCAAACTGCCATTTAAATATTCACACACCCCTCCCCGCTGCTGATGATGCAGCACGGAATGAAGAGCGTGCTTCCTAGTCCTATTGCTGCTCTGCTGTATTACCTTGAATCTACTGTGTAGTGTCTTCATAGTGCAGTTTTTGTCTGCCAGTCATGTCTGAACACTTCATTCACATTTCAAATCTTCGAGCGGATATTTTTATATTCTCTGTCAACTGAGCAACCAATTTGCCTTCATTATTGGCTGTAAATCTCGGACACCATTTTTCGCATTGTCCTCACAAATAATATCTGGACAGCTAACGGCTCAGAGGCCAGGATTGTATTCCAGCCTGACAATTATGGCAGGAAAGCAAGTGCGTTCTGCTCCTACTAGTAATAATTAGGCTTCAACCATTTTGTTTGGCATACAGAGTGTGATAGGAGAACAGAATGTTCAGCAATAACATATGTCAGCGGTTCCCAACCTGGGGTATGGCAACACCTTTAGGGTACTTAAAAAGTAATTTTCTAAAGGTGCCCATACACCTTACGACCATCGCAAGAGTTTTGTCTTGCGATGGTCGTATGCTCATTAAAAGCCCGTACGATCTGCCCACCTTGGACGGGCAGATCGTACTTGCGATCATCGGAAGCCCGCCCCGCTGAGGGGCGGGCTTTCCGATGACGGCAATGCAGAACGGGCAGTGTGCGCGTGCGCACACTGGCCCGTTCCGCAGCTATCGGGCTAGCAGGCTAGAAACCCGCCGAGAATCGTACGATTCTCGGCTGGTTTTCAAGCATGTTGGCTCGACAAAAGACGTGCGACCGTACAGTAGAAACGGTCGCACGTCTTAGTTCACACTGCTCGATTCTCGTACGATCGCGGGATTTCGCCCGATTCTCGTACGAGAATCGAGCAGTGTATGGGCACCTTAATGGTGGAAAAAGGTTGTGGCAGTGGAGAGTAGGTGACTAAATTGTGTGCAGAAGATCTGCAGAGCAAACCTGCAGCTGCGTTTTCTGACACTCGTTCTATAGTTCTGACTGCTAACCCCTCAATCAGACACAGCTGGGTTATGTGCCCTCCTCTCTTATGAGAAAGTGGTGTAAAGGTGCCCATACACCTTACGATTATCGTACGATAATCGTATGCGATCGACTTTTCGTACGACAATCGTAACGTGTGAATAGAGTGCCCGACCGATAGTACTGTACAATCGTACGACTTTTGACGGTCAAGCATGTTTTGAAAACTTTGGTTGATCGTACGATGTTCGCATGGTTGGTGACGTTTCTGTCCGTCAAAAGTCGTACGATTAACACTACGCATGCGCAAACGAAAATAATTGCGGTCAATTACCGCAAGTCGTCCAGGTGTTTTTTTCTAACTACCGCTGATTGAACATTGCGATAATCGGGGCAGGATGGGGCCGTTGTACGAAGATCGTACGACGGTTCGATCATCGGACGAAAAGTTTCGTCCGATAATCGTAAGGTGTATGGGCACCTTAAGACAGTGACTGTAAGTCCTGAGTCGCACCAGAATCTGCTCAACCCACCTCCTCTCAGGGTCACATTGGCCACCAGTCTATTAAGGTACCTCCACCAGATGAGACCTGCTCCATTCTGCAGCATCAATCCCCCCACGACACTTTCCATGGAGCACTGAAAGTGCAGCTGCTGCCCTCCCTGAACTGCAACAAACAGGTGAGCTATTAGACTGTACCCTTGCTCCATCTGCATCCTCTGTGGCCCAGACACCTATCATAGAGGGATACCTAGCCCTCCAACCCACAGTGGCCCCATAACCCCAGAGGGAATCCAGTGTTACAGCCCACACCCCACCCCACCCCATAACACTGGACACACTACCACAAAGAGCTCCCAGCTCCCTCCATCAAATCAACTCCCGCACAGTGGCATTTGACACCCTCCTATTCAATTTGGTTGCACCCACCATTTGGCATGGCGCACTATATGCTCCACTATTAGCCCCATCCACTGTCCCACCCCAGTTCATGGGTACACAAGTAAAAAAAAAATGGTTGGGAACCACTGACGTCTATTTTGTCATCTGCCTCTACAAGATCCTTTTATATGTTCAGCAAAGACAGATTTTTCACAGGCACGAACAGCAGCAACTTGTTATACAGCCAGCATTGGCTGAACAGTCACCTCAGTAAATATACCTTGCTTGCTGTTGCATAGGAGCATTCATTTTCCAGATTGTGGCTGACTCATCCAACTCGCTAAACATAGCTTTGGTGGCTACTGTTGTTGACACATCTAATTGCTTTATCGAGATGATCATTACGTTGATTTTTATGTGTGAAGTGGCACTAAATGCTAGCCGGGTCATGTCTCTGTTTTTGGGTCTCCTTGGTTTCCGAGGTATTTCATTCATTGGATACAGTGGCTTGCAAACGTATTCACCCCCTTTGCATTTTTCCCATTTTATTGCATTACTACCTGGAATTAAAATGTATTTTTTGGAGGTTTGTATCATTTGATTTACACAACATGCCTACCACTTTGAAGATGCATTTTGTTTATTGTGATACAAACAAGAAATAAGACAAAAACCGAAAACTTGAGCGTACATAACTATTCACCAATATCAATACTTTGTAGAGCCACCTTTTGCAGAAGTTACAGCTGCAAGTCTTTTGGGGTACATCTCTATAAGCTTGGCACATCTAGCCAGTGGCATTTTTGCCAATTCTTCAAGGCAAAACTGCTCCAGCTCCTTCAAGTTGGATTAGTTTTGCTTGTGTACAGCAATCTTTAAGTCATGCCACAGATTCTCAATTGGATTGAGGTCTGGGCTTTGACTGGGCCATTCCAAGAAATTTAATGTTGCTTTAACAGTATGCCTATGGTCATTGTCCTGCTGGACGGGGAACCTCCGTTCCAGTCTCAAATCTCTGGCAGACTAACAGGTTTTCCTCAAGAATTTCTGGAGTATGAGATGTTCTGATACTATAACTGGTGCTGGCTGTAATCAGTTAAAAGGGGATGGAGCTTTGTTTTATTTTGCGGCACATACTGTTGGAACTGCAGAGGTTAGATCAATATTTCCCCCAGTTGTCTAGAAGCCACCTTATGTAATTGGTCTTTTAGTGTCCACTGCTTCTCAAAGATGGAAAAACAAAATAATCAAACTGACATCTGTTTCCTCCCCATATAAGTGTGCAGAGACTTCTGTGGATAGTTAAGTTAGCAATGTCATCTGTGCACTGGCCTGATTAGGTTTATGGTAGTTTTGAGTCTGTTGAGAAATGTTGTCACACAAGAGTCTTTCATTTTTCTTATGTAAAAGAAGTTGTCACACGCACACCTGGGTCCAATGCATCAATCCGTCATTTTATTGACATTAGATATAATGGCATCACACGTACAAAGCAACGTTCCGGATCCTAGCATGGTCCCTTCATTGGGCAAGTAGCATAGTGACAGCCATAGTGAATTGAGTGCAAGCTTATATACAGTGCAAACAACAAATTGTTTGCACTGTTTATAAGCTTACACTCTATCCATATTGGTTGTCACTGTTCCACTTGCTTGATGAAGAGACCATGCTAGGACCTGAAACGTTGCTTTGTACGTGTGATACCACGTATAGCTGAAGTCAATAAAATGACAGATTGATGCATTGGACACAGGCGTGTGGGTGACTTCTTCTTTTACATTTGGACTTTTGCGGCGCCATCTGCATATCATTCAGCACCCTCCATTATATCACTGTGAGATCCCGGTCTGGAAGTGCAATGGGACACGATTTAACTTTCACTTTTCTTATTCAATTCAAAGTATGCACAAGTGTTGTAAGGTAACTCATAAATGCATACACACAATAGGTTGGACTTGATGGACTTGTGTCTTTATTCAACCTCAAATACTATGTAACTATGTAACTGAAGTGTTTTCAAAAAGTCAGGTAACAAAATTTGGTTTTCATATAAACCGTGCTCATGTGTTTTTTTTTTTTAAATGTGTGTTTAGAAAGGGAAAATGGGAGAAGTGTTGACAATAAATTGACAGGTTCACTATTTACACACAAGTGTGTTCAGAGCAGAGACACACTCTCCTGTCCCTTCATCCAGCTCTGTCGGAGGTTTTAGTCATAGACTTCATGTATGAATGGAGATAAATTCTGCTACGCACTCTTTACAAAAACCCTTAAGGTGCCCATACACCTTACGATTATCGGACAAAACTTTTCGTCCGATGATCGAACCGTCGTACGATTTTCGTACGACAGCCCCATCCTGCCACGATTATCAAAAGGTTCAATCAGCGGTAGTTAAAAAAAAAACCACACCTGGACGACTTGCGGTAATTGACCGCAATTATTTTCGTTTGCGCAGTGTTAATCGTACGACTTTTGACGGACGGAAACGCCACCAACCATGTGAACATCGTACGATCGACCAAAGTTTTCAAACATGCTTGACCGTCAAAAGTCGTACGATTGTACAGTACTATCGGTCGGGCACTCTATTCACACGTTACGATTGTCGTACGAAAAGTCGATCGCGTACGATAATCGTAAGGTGTACGGGCACCTTTTTAGTGCTCTAAAAATCTTTTCTCATGCATTCAATGGTTCTCTCTATACACACACATACACCTGTCCAGTATGCAGATTACACCAGCCAGTGATATCTGGGTAATTTCAGGCCATTGACTGGTCACATCAAAAAACGTATAACCTTGAAAAAAAAAAAAAAGGAATAAAACAAAATTCTTGTACTTCATCCCCAGAATAAGTATATGTTGTGTTAGGTGTATGTAATTTAGTGTACTGCTATATAAGCACGTTACAGCAGGCAAACTAAAATAGCAGAGGAATACAGCTGCAATCATAAGTTATTGTTTGTGCAGTAACAGTAGTTTGGTCATTTTCACATTTTGTAAAATAAATATGATTATTTTAGATGCTTCTGTGGGGGTGTGCAATTTCCTGTGCTTCAAAGTAAAGACTCCAAAGCTGCACTAACTGCATCAGTAATTATAAAAACAAAGATGACTCGGGCAATCCGTAGTCCAATACTTACACTTTAGACTGAAGGGAAACTATTCCTTATGTGACACAGAGAAAATACAAATCTAATGCTCAATAAATAGCTGTTAATTTCTTGAGTTAATTACGCCATAGCCATATGGTCATTTGCACCTGGTCCTAAATCCTCAGAAATGCATACACTGGAAGTGAGAGGGTTACTGTGTCTCAATAACAGCCTAACCTCTGTTTGCAGTAGACTGCATTATGCATTACAGAGCCATATAAACATATTTGTATGTTTGTTTTGATAAGTGTTGAAATTAAATTGTTTTTAGTGAGCATGTGAAGTGTTCACCACAAAGTAACTCATACAAGTTTAACATTTTACAAGCTTTTTCTTCCATATTTTATATTATTGTATTAGACATTTGGAGCCTAGAGGAAGCTCTGATTGGCTCATTACAAAGACCATCTTAACAACTGCTGAGATGAGCAATCAGCCATACAGGTACTGCACTTTTTAGCGAGTCGTCTGACTCGCATACCTGAATGTTAAAAAAAAAAAAGAGCCTGCATATGCATTGAACAAACCTAGTTGCTCCTATGTACATTTGCATCCTGTTTAGAGAATCAATGATTTTAAAAGACCTGTTCTCCTTTACATGCATTTATGCATTTTGTAATAACCACAGTTGTTACAGAATAATCAATAATCTTTTCCCATGAATGTATGTAATGCAGCAGTAAGATTTAAGAATGCAGTCAGCTCCACATTTGCACATTTATAGCAAGTTTTATCAAATCATTGTCTTCTGTGTCTCTATCTTGGTTAGCTTTGATATATTCTATGCACTGCCAAGGATTGAATTACTCTTCATTTCCATATTTTGCATTTTTGCCTTTTCAGGTAGAAAATCGGAGGGACAGGCATGTTGTATATTCAGTTTTGGAATACAAATATGTTTCTTCAACGCATATAGTGGGACAGAGAGTTAGAATTTTCTTATAAGGAATTTTGTCAGAATAGCAATAAGGAGCATGTATATTGGCTCCCATATTTATATCCCGACAAGTTCTTAATAAATTATCATTGTTAATATTATAATTTTGCCAACTAATGGAGGACCAGAGTGTACAGATCAGTGCTACAAACCAGAGATACCTCTAGCATATTAACTGGTAGAACAAGTACAGCAACAGCTGATAAAAAAAAAAAGCTGCACTCTTTCCGTGTGCACGGGCTCTTTGCCTCTGAATTACAGGTGATCTGTTGCTGCATTTGGCTTTCCTTGCTCTCTTTAACCACTGAACTTATCTGCTTTTTCCAGTGGTACACAAAGTGAGAGTTTGGCTTGCTGTGCCGTATTATTTACATGGCAGTAGAAGGCAAAAAGACCTCAAATTAAACTTTCCAGTGTGGAAGCTTGCTTCCTCTCTATGTAGTTGGCCAACTCATATCTGTCATACTGTAAAGGTACCTGAAAACAAGAGAATGCCTCTTTACAGTCATATTAAAGAATGATTGAACGTCTCGAAGCTGTTTGCTAGCTGAGCATGATCGGGGGAATTTTTTTGTTTTGCTGGAATGGACTTTCCTGTTCAAAGTTTTTGCCTTGAGTCAAGGGCCTGTAGCTCTTCTGCAGGCTCACCTTATCTGTACTTACTCGTTCATAGATTGTGTTGTTTATAAACAGCAAAATTGTGACAGTTTTGGTGACAGTTTAATACTGTAGTCAGCCCTTTTCAACCTGAAATGTTTAAAGTCTGATTCAGGTCACAGAAATAGTCAGTGAGACTTTGTACTAATTACCTTCATTTTCATACTATTGCCTACACATTCCTATTATTGCAATCAAACAGTGTGTCTAAATATGACTCGGCAGTCCAGTAGGTATCGGATTATGACTGCGCTGCCAGAGCACTCCAAAATATATCAGACCTGGTCAAAAACACCCCCCTTTTCCTCATCACAAGAAGTCCACTTGAGGACACTTGTAAAGTTGATTGTGGATGTTACTCATGTATGCTAGCATAGAGCACTGGACTTTTGGGGTACGACATGCAGTTTCACAAAGTGAAAAAATATTTTGAGCATTTCAGAGTTAAAAAATAACTAACTTCCTGTACGGAAAGGAAATGACACGATCATAACTGTATTAAAGTCCAATACGTCCCCCTGCACTCCTCACAGCGTCTCTGGCCCAAATCACAATGATGGTGCTCGCAGTGATGCTCACGGATGGCGCCGTGCACATCAAACAGCAAATGAACATTGTTGCCCTGATCAGGGGTCCCTGTGTAGCCCCGAAACATCGGTTATAATTATTGCAACATGTATGATGATTTGTCCGATTAAATGATCATAACTGTGACTTCTGGAAGTGGTCACATCAGCCAAGTAAAGAGGTGTAGCTAGGGTTTTTTGAGCCATTTTGGCACATTTAAGCTGAGCTAAGGTTAGCAAACAGCAAGTGGGATTTTACTTGTTATGCAGTGATAACCCCAAAAATGTTGGTTGCGCCCCCACCTCTTTGCTTTCAGGTGTCTGCTGTCTAAATATCTCCTGATTTATTGTGATCTGGTATTGTATATTTTACACATGCACTCTCACCACCTTGTTATATATTTGTTTAGCTGTTGGGTTTCTCTGCTACTTTTATATATAGTTTTGGACCAGTGATGAGAGTGACCCGTATTCATGTACTATTCTCTGTACTCTTGTATCTTTTTTAGTCTGTTATACTGCCTTTTTATATCAGATTTTTTTACAACATTTGTGACATCATTTTGATATATGCATATTTGAAATCTCAAGCTGTTTAGCGTGCAGAGGTTTTTACTTACCGTATATACTCGAGTATAAGCCGAGATTTTCAGCCCTATTTGATAGCATTTGGGGGCACTCTGTACATATACTCACTTTTGTTCCAGCACCCACTTTTCTACCAGTTAGTTTTTCTGCCTATATTAAACGACGTTTAAATGCCTGTGAAAAGCTATTATTAATTATTTTCAAATCTATGTTTAGGCACAGCAATTGTATTGTCTTTTAAAGATCATGGTTTAATTTGTTATTCCTCTGTTTTTATATCTTGTATGTTTTTACAGGGTGTGACATTTAAAGTGGACAATAATAATCTAGTAATTGCACGGATCCTCCATGGCGGAATGATTGACCGACAAGGTCTTCTTCATGTGGGAGACATAATTAAAGAAATTAATGGCCATGAAGTGGGAAACAATCCAAAAGAATTACAGGAGCTGCTGAAAAGTATTAGTGGCAGTGTTACACTTAAGATACTTCCAAGCTATAAAGACACAGTTACCCCTCAGCAGGTCAGTGTAACATAGAACACTTTGCTTACTTTTTACCTTTTTAATCATTTTACTGGGATCATGTTATCACTTATCGTGTATATCGTCCCTTCTGAGTAGTATTCATCATTGATCTGTTTATCTTAATTTGTTTATATAGTAAGGGTTCCACATGAGCATTTTCAGCATTCTCACAATGCTAGGATCAAAATGGATTCAGATGTTGACTTACAAGAGCTCTAAGGAAAGCTTTGGACTCCATAAACGGTGCATGTTGGGCTTGGTGCATCCCTAGAATTTGGGAAATGTTTAATTGACCTATGTTATAGGCATCTGGAAGTGTCCAAAGAATTCAAGACCTTTCAAACATTGCTAGCAACATCCATATTAATGCAAAGCATTTCAAATATGAAAGCCCACAAACATATTCACCATCTTCATATTAATTTGCAAGATTAATAAATCATTCCCAGATGCCTTCTATTAATGCCTTCTATTAATGCCCAAGTGAACATACCCTAGCAGGTGCTTTACGTGAACACATTCAGCAGAGCATTCCTACGTGACTTCCTGGAATGTAGTGATCACAAAGTATCCTAAAATCTGTGGTCACAGTATACATGACTATTAAAGATTTTAAAAAAAAACTTAATAGAGCTGTGACTGAAGTTGGGCTTACTATGTGCACGTTTGCAGGGGGGGGGGACTTTAAAGTTTTTGGTTTTGTTTGCACTTTTTAATGTATATTATTTAAAAAAAAAAAATTTTACTATATTTTTTATTACTTATTTCATTGCCATGTTGTAGGGGGGGCTTACATGCCTCCCTATATGATAGCATATCAGGTGGTGACAGGTACTCTTTACAGTGACATTAGGGGTCTATTAGACGCCTAGTGTCACCTTTCCACTGTAAAGAAGCTATACAAGCGTAACTCGCGCTTCAATAGCTTCTTCCCCGTCTTCTCTAGCCGGAGAATGACAGCCGAGGGACCGGCTTCCGGCTCCATTCAACAGGGAGAAGATTGGCAAACGTTTGTTCGTCTGTCTCTCTCCCCTCTACCCGCCGACACCCGTGATGCTGGTCCCGAGCCTGCAGAAAGGTCAGCAGAGCCTGGGAAACAGAGCGGGGGGCGGTGTCGGAGTGATCTGGAGGCAACTCAGCCACCAGAATCGCTTTTAGCGCAACACCCACCGTCGGCTTTGAACAGCTGAACAGTATAGTCTCCAGGAGTGTATTTAGTGGGGCCCGCTGCCAGCATTGTACTGCATACGTCGCTGGCAGAGAAAGGGTTAAAGCACCATTCAGAAAATCTTATAACCTGCAGAGTCCTGTCTGATATCACCAGAAGTACAGCAATGTTAAGCCAATTGGTTCTAGGGCTTGTCATGCCAATAATAAAAGCACTAACAATCACTGAAGCAGTCAGTGTTTGAGATGGTGTTATAAACCGATCGATGTGCTGCTCAACTATGGAAAGATGAGCACAGTCAATTTTTTTATCACCTTTTGCTGCATATCTGTAAGTGGTTTCTTTAGGATGGTAGAATTTTAAAACGTGACATTTAAAATCCTGACACATGCCTGCAGCAAAAGTCTGTGTATTAAAGAACTAGCTGAATTGTGTGCAGCATTTTCAGATCTGCTGTAGGCCTCGCGATTTAGTTGAGACAGAATCATCATGTCATGACTACATATTAGATAAAGGTTTAGCATGTTTGTTTTTAGCTTGCTTCTCAAGCATTGAATGTATCCAATGGTTTTATTAATTATAAAGATCCAACTGGGCTAAAGTGCATGTAAAGCCACAACTTCTTTTATATATATCTATATATAGATATAGATCTATATATAGATATATCTCAATCATACAAGGATGAAAACCTGTCCTGCAGATGCAACAGGAAGTGAGAGTAAATCTCTGCAAAGTATCATAATTTGTCCACTTGGACTGTTGTCACTGTAAGAAATTAGAATACAACCCTCGCTTCTTGTTCTAGAGACTGTTGACGAATTTAGGATTTCCCATCACTTTCTGTGTTTGTAACAATGGTCAGCCGAACAGAGAGGGTAAATTCCCCCAGTGACGACACGTGAAGCATTTTAAAAAAACATAACCGGTTCTAACCCTTCCCTGTTCTATTTAAAACAAAAAAGGCTAGACATACATTTGACGTTTTTATAAATATTTGCTTTGCTTAGTGACGATTGATGTGCGTGACCTTATTAAGCTTAACTCCCTTTCTCTGAATGCAGCTCTTCAGCTTTCGTTATGTAAGGTACTTGAAGTCTGATATTTGTTGCCTGTCTACCGATCTACCAGCTTCTGAGTGTGCAGTGTGTGAGGGCCCAGCTATCGATGTGGCAGAAACTGTCAGATTTCAGGTCCTAATTATAAAGAGTGAATGTTCAGATGATTTATCACTCCGGGTATAAGCCTAGTGGTATCGCCTTGTTAAAGTAACCGTAATGGTCATATCATTCTGAGTGAACTTGGCCTCTTATTGTGATAAAGCACAATTGTATTATTATTTCGCACATAATTAAAACTTCTGTACCTCATTAAAAAAAAAAGGTTTTACACTTATAGGATCCGAAACATAGACAGAACAAAGGTCTTCTATTAAAATGGCTGCTTTCATCACAAATGCATTCTCAAATTCACAAAATATAACAGTTTAACCTGCAGTAGCCATTGCAGGTTTAAGGGCAGGTTCACACCATTTTCTGGGCCAGATTTGAAACGCACTGCTTTGCGTTTTTGGCGCGTTTACTTTTAGGTCTTGCTGGGGGACCCCTGCAAGACCTACAGATAGCTAGGAAAAGAGCAGCACAATGCATGCATACAAGAGACATGAACTTACCACAGTTGTTCTTTTCGGAGCTGCTCAAATGATCATAGCCAGTGACAACCTGGGCAGCAATGTCTCTCCACTTGTCCATCTTCCTATTATTGTTCTTATACTGCCCATGCCTGGGATTATACAGCTCTGGGCAGGCTTCCATAAGTTCTACAAAGAATTCGGTGTACACTTCAGCCATCATGGTTCCTATCGTCACAAATCTCTCTCTCCACAGAAGAAGGAAGTCCAGGGGTGATGAGATCATCCAAACCACCAAAAAAAAGGGGGGATTTTCCTGTTCCGTTGCGTTTTTGGCGCGTTTGTGCACGTTCCAGACCAAACAAAATGTGACACGCAATATTTTTCTGGTCTGGACCAGAATTGACTGCGATGGTGTGAACTGAGGCCAAGAAGAACATAGGGATACATTAGGATGCATTTTGGGTCCGGAAACGGTCTGGTCTGGAGGTGATCATGAGGTGGTGTGAATGGGCAATGGTATGCAAAGTTGATGATGTTGTGGTTTTTTTTCTATCATTTTCCATTAGGTGTATGTGAAGTGTCATTTTGATTACAACCCATTTAATGATAATCTGATTCCCTGCAAAGAGGCTGGATTAAAGTTTTCTAAAGGAGAAATACTGCATATAGTTAATAGGGAAGATCCAAACTGGTGGCAGGTAAGTGTGTCATTCCTGTTTTAATATGGCTCCAGAGGTATGGTGCAGAGCGAGTAACGTGTACTGCTCTGGCAGAGCTTTGTGTACAGTTGAGTTTCTATGGATGATCATGATGTACCTGTACTTCTATTATCCTCCCTACCTGCAAAGTGATTGTTAGTAAGGCTGGCCTTATCTTGTTGAGTGACCTTTCTGATTGCATTCAATTTGAATGTCAGAAGTCGGCAGTTTCTAGTCATAGGCAATAAAAAAACAAGAATATCCCTTTTGAATTACCTGCAAGTTGGGCTTTAAAAATATAAATATTCTGACAAACATGAAAATCCACTGCCCTTTTTATGATTGTTATAGGGTTTGTATTGTAGAAATAATTTTTTATATTGCCTTATTCCCTTATGGACAAGAATCTAGTACAGATAAAAATAATTGCTTTTTCTGAAATTTCTTATGTTGATAAAAGAAAAAAAACTTGTTCAGTGGCTATTATACCCGTTTGTTCCTAGACTCACCCCCCTTGCTAATTAATTAGTTGGTTCACCCTTGTATTACGTTTATGTGCAGTGCACATTGAGCTGCACAATGTTCTTTCTTTAAACTTTCCTTTCATTCTGTTTTTGCAAATACAGGCATTGTCTGTCTCTGATCAATATAGCAATTACAGCTCTGTACTTAAAAGATTATTGTACCAGTGCTTGTTCAGTGCCTGACACGTCAGCAGTTTTCCTGTACTCATTTGTTAGTGCTGTGTCTATTCACTTGTGTTTGTGTATATAATAGTATTTACTAATAGTATTTACCATAAAATAATACAGCATATGTGGCTACAAACATCTCTATGATCTTGTATAGCATTATATTTTTGGCTTTTGTTGGTGCATATCTGATAAACAAAATCTGGATATTCACTTTTTAATGAGATCTTTAAAGGAAACGTATAATGGCTTTCATTTCGTTTTTTTTATTTATAACTGATGTTTTTTATGCTTTTTTTTTTTTTTTTTTTTTTTTTTTTTTTTTTTTTTTTTTTTTTTTTTTTTTTTTTTTTTTTTTTTTTTTACTATTTATTTAAAAGCAGTATTTTACAAATAAACATTTAGTGCAGGGTGATACTGGTGTCTCCTAACATTCTAGGTTTTAGAGAGTACAGCAGAAGATGTTTGCTTTCACACTGTTTCTCTCTCATTGAAAGGCTGTACAAAATATTGAGCCACTCCTCTGGATAGCTCCTCATTATTAATTTTGTGAGTTCAGTTCTGTAAAAATGTGTTGTTTTTTGGCAAACCAGTTAGAGGATGTTAGTCTGGTAAACATACAAAAAAGAGCCTAATGCTCCACACGTTAACCCACCCAAAGCTAATATTTTGCTTTTTGATAGAGACTGGCGAGATAATCCACCTAATCTTGGATTTACATTCTCGGGTACTCCCATGGTGAAATCTTATTACATAGTGACCCCAATCTGTCTTTTGATTTTATTGGAAAATGGACCGGGAGATGTGGGTACATTACAAGATATGCCAAAAACACTCAAAACCGGTGGCTAGCAGACATATCCCTTTTAGGTGGTCTGAACCTTTGGAAGAAATTGAATGCATTTTGGATGGTCGCCTAACTACATTGAAAGTGTTTTATTTCTCTCATTTGCCCGCAGTCCTATGTTGAACCTCATCCACATTCTGGAGTTCTTCTTTATAGTCAATTATGCAGCGTGTATTATATAAACTTTTTGCTGCCATAACCATTTATCATTTATGATGTAATTTCTGGATTGAGTCGTTTCAAAATTTACTTGTCATTTGCCAGTTGTGGTAGTATTTAAAGCTTCATATGTGTTTCTTCTCACTTCACTGTCTCATTATATATTCATCTTCTTGCTTGTTTTCCTATGGTTTTTTCCCCCTAATATGCTAATCACCATTCAGGATTCCTTCTGCTAGCTGGTCAAATGTTTAGCTGCTATATTAGAAACTTTGGTTTGTAGCATCTGGAAATCCCAGCTGGCTTCAGTAGAAAGCTGAATGGGAATTGGAACGTTGCAGAGGAAAGTACATTGCTTGGCTGCATTTTACTAATATTTTGTATGTTGAATGCTTGATGTTGTATTAACTCTTTGTAGGCCAGTCATGTAAAAGAAGGTGGAAGTGCAGGTCTCATTCCCAGTCAGTTCTTAGAGGAGAAGAGGAAAGCCTTTGTTAGAAGGGACTGGGAAGGTGCAGGTAATATACCATTCAAACTGACACGTAGTAATTTATTTAAGTTAATGAACATCTACTATTAATTTCTGATGGGGAAAATGAAAGTTGCACTAATCTTTTGTATATACCTTGCTGCAGATGTTAAACGTCCATCATGCTGGACAATCCAATGTAATAAAATAAGCTCTTTTGAAAGTGGGTGTTTCTTGAAGGAAAGAAGCAACTTTGTTAATGGAGCTCTTGAAGGATGGTTTTCAGCTGAAAGATAGAAAAAACTATTTTGCTAACATGTGTGCGCCCTTAACTGAAATATGAGGGGATGAACTGATCTTTAAAAATAACTTGAACACAAATTTTGATTTAGTTGTGGATAGAGACCGTAAGGGTTAGAACTTTTTATTGCTCTTTGGAGGTCTCCCTGCACTTTTCACCCTGTAACACCAGCTCTAGAAATGAGGAGAATAGGGTCACCGGAAAAGGCAGGCAGAGAGAGCAATACCCTATTCAGAGATTTTAACTTTTCCCTCATCACACAAAAAACTCTTCTCACTCAGACAGGATGTGAAGGGAAACCTCCAGAATGGCAACACAGGTTCTCTGGGTCATGGTTCTTTCACTGTAGCTGTAACCAGTGTATGCTATAGATGGTGAACATGTTATAGTCTCATTGTGAAACACCAGGTCCATTTGTTAGTCCTGGTAACTTCTTCCCCAGACTTGTATAAATCCCAGAGCCACAAGTTATTTTGTAGTTCTTGATTATATTAACAGTAGTTTGGCAGCTAGAACATGTACTGTTTCTGCTTGTGCTAGCATTTTGTGTATAACGAGTTAGTAATGATTATATTCATACATTGTTTTTATATTTTACGAACATATATATATTTTTTTCTTCCAGGGCCATTTTGTGGTACAATTACAAGCAAGAAAAAGAAAAAAATGATGTACCTCACAACAAAAAATGCAGGTACTGCTCTGTATACTACTTAGTTGTAGTATTTTTGGATAAAGAAATACTTTAAAACCCCAAATAAGTATATATTTTCTGAAAGCAGAGGCCCTGTAAAATAAAATAAAAATTGGAATCTGCATTTTTTACGTTGCACGATATTTGCGTAAATGTTTATCACATCGGTATTTTTAGGAAATAAAAACTCAAATTCATTTTAATGCACACAAACCCAAATTAATTCATTTTTTGGTAACTTTTTAAAAGATGGGGTTACATTGAGCAAATAGATACCAAACATGTCAAGAGCTAAAGTTGTATCTCCTGTGCAATAGCAAAAAAATATGGTTTTATTGCTATTTTTTGCTTTATTACTATTTTTTGCTTTATTACTATCACACGGGGGTTTATAAGCCCACGTATGATAGTGTTTGGAGGTGACGGGTTCTCGATTTGCCCCATGATGTCTCCCCTGGCCTCTAATACAGGGGATCGAGCACAGGATTGTACTCGATCACCTGTGTAACCAGCACTTCAGCCAGCTTTGTGTCAGCTGTGAGCAGAAATGCACTATCCTGAGTGCATTTTCCATGGTCCCGGGTTCCTCAGAGAAGCAGTGGACCCCGAAAACCACGACAGGGAGGTGGGGGCACAACCTATGCCAGCTGCTTAAAGTGATCTGGGCGACTGTAAAGCCACCCAGATCACTTGTACAAAACGAGCTTCACCTGCTGAAAAAAACCCAATACCAAGATCATGATATTGGTATAACCACTTCTGTGTGTGTGTTTAGGGCTGCAACAATGAATCGATTAATGAGAATAGTTGGCAACTATTCTGATTATCGATTAGTTGGAGGGAGAGAGAGAGGATTTTTATACGATTAATCGACAAAAATAATCGCAACTTATGAAAATAATCATTAGCTGCAGCCTGTGTGTGTATGGTCCTGAAGTAGTTAAGCTATTCACATACAAATGTATTCATTTTAGAATTCAGTCTTAAGTAGCAATAACTCCCAACCGTGTTGTCTGTGTTTTTAGTATTTGTTTTTACATCTATACATTGAGATTAAGTGGGTTAAGCTGGCCGGACACCAGTAGAATTTCATTTGAAAAGTCTTGAACAAATTTAGTCTTTTCTTCTACACATCTGC